CCCCCCCTTCCCCAACCACGCACAATACCACCAGGTCTAAGATTGTTGAAAGACTCAAATCGTCAGAAAATATTAGCTTACACGACAAAAATGAAAAATTTTTAATGATGATAAATCCTCCAAAACCACTATGAAAAGCAATAGCAAAATTTGTATTTGAAAATTTTGAAAAACKAAAAACCTTCATTAATGCGTTGGGTGGCCACAAAGTTTAAGATTCTCGATTAATAACAATTTGTAATCTTTGTTATCTTTGTGTTGTTTAGTTTAGTTTATTGTCTTTTAAGCCAATGTAAAACTGATTTACATGGTGACAATAAATTGCCTTTGCCACCACCACTTCACTACCTCCTCGACAACTGAAAGTTTAAAAAAAACAAGTTTATTGAACCTGAATTTCCAGACGCACACTACACTTTTCTTTTTTTAAAACATTTTTTCATGATCATTTTAGCTCAAAAGCGCAAATGTTTTCCACAGGCAGCCCAATCCCCCTCTATGGCATAAAAACGGAGATTTGGCTGCCTGTGGATCCGATCCGATCCGATCTTGGTCGTTGTCCGTTTTCCCGGGCCGTGTTTCTGAGACTGTCACTGGATGGCTTGAATATCCATGACTCCTTTATCCCAGTTTTTCTGTGTCTCCAGGTCATCCTGTATACCCTTTTCCTTCCCGAAGGCAAACCTCTTGGCAGCAGGGGTCTGGGTCATAGCTTGTCCGAGCTGGTACGCCTCGACTTTGAGACCCTCATCGATTGGAGTATCAACTGCTGATACGACACATCTCTTACATGCGGTTATAGATCCTGCAGGGAATTTAGCAATACGATTAGCCAGCTCTTCGACAAACGGTCSTATTTCTTCAGGATCAAGGGCACGGTTGATAGAGCCATATCTCTCTGCGAGGTCAGCGTCAAAGTCATGAGCTCCAAGAATGATCTCTATTGCGCGTCCCATTCCAACCTGACGAGCCAAACGCTGAGTACCGCCCCCGCATGGAACAATGCCCATCCCTACCTCCATTTGCATAAACACTGCTTTCCCTCGAGCAGCGAATCGCATATCACAAGCCAACATGAACTCATGACCACCTCCTCTTGCCATTCCCTCGACCTTGGCGATGGTAGCTTGAGGGAGAGAGCTGATCCTTTGCAACACTTGCTGCAAGTACAATATTGGTTCTGACATGCTTCGCTCCACTGCAGGTATTTCACACAACATATCGATGTCAGCGTGACAGACGAAGATGTCGGGATGGGCAGACTGGAATACCACGACTTTCACCGAACGATCTGGCTCTAGTGCTTCTGCAAGACGGTTCAAGTCATCCAGCATGGGTTTCCCCTGCACGTTGACTGGAGGGAAGTCAAATGTCACCCAAGCAACAGCGTCTTTGATTTCTACCTTGAACGTTGAGTAGCCCTCGTACGACATGACCTAAGAATGAATTCACGAGTGAGATTTAGCCTGTGATTAACTCTACATAGCCCGACATATCAATAACATTAACCCTGCATACAAGAAGGAAAGTTTATCCCATTCAAACGAAGGCTGTACCATTAAGGCTGTACTTTACTTATCGCWGTCTCTTGGCCTACGAGACGCGGTCAGAAGCAATTAATTATCCAATTCACGCTTCACAAACCTCAGTTCAAGTGACCTTGCAAGTGTCTACAATAATCCTAGCTCTTACCAACTAATTCTGAAGTTTGTTCTTTGAATTAACTGCAGGARATTTGGTATTTCTTTAGCGTTCCAGGTACTCGTGAATAAGCTTGAATTCTGGAGGTCAGAAGTTATTGCTCCGCTTGAAAGTTTATCAGGCTTGAAAATGTCTTGGTTACTGGGGAGGGGCTTGCAAGACCGGTAATGTAGCTCTTATCCGATTGTCAATGACGTCACGTTATATTTACCAATCAATCTTGAGTAGAATATAATGCATTCTCTGATTCCTTCGCTAACCATTACATATTCACGGCAATTCTAGTAATATAACTATTCTTTTATCGGTTTGTTATGGTGAAAAGATAGACTTTTGGCTCTTAAATCACATGCATGCGAGGAGTTTTTGTTTGCCTTCCTTCAAGTATTTGTTATACCAAGAATAACTATAAGTTTAGTTGATCCTAGTCGATAGGGATTTGATTAATAAATAAATAAATTATTGTTTAGTCGACCGTAAAAATTCAATTACTTTTCACGGCTTTGAAAACCATAGATTTCTTTACCATCGTTGTTCGTTTGTTGTAAATATTTCAGACCACGTGATTTCACTCTTGGGAGTCGGATTTTTTCAAAACATAACCAATCAAAATTGTAGCGTGCTTKCAAGGGGTGGTCAAGAGAAGTATGTCCAGAAAGTTAATCCAATTATTCGGAGAATGTGACAGCGAATCGGAAGCATCATCAACTTAGGCAAATCTGATTGAAATCCAGTGTTTGACCTCCATATTTAGCTGCACTGGGACCTTCTATAAAAAGGAGTCTATAARCAAGACGAAAGCCACAAAACACTTTTAAAATTTATTTTTTATTACTATATACCTTTGTCATTTTCTTACTTCTATAATAGTCATAAATAAATATATTTGACTCCCGGCACTTGTTCTCACGCAGGCTGAAGCGACTTCATTGCTTTCTTTTTTACTGCACTTTATCAGTGTCACTTTATCACTTCACTTCTCAAATACTTTACTGTTAAAAATGTTAACGAGGTGTGTAGAATCTTCTTTGAGATTTCTACTGAAGTCATTTCCCACTGTTATTACTTTCTTTTTATTTCCCTTTCCTCTTTTTATTTCCCTTTCACTTTTTCTGGTTTGTCAAGGCTGCTTAGTATTTTTTTWAATAGCTGTTCTGACCTCCGCTTTTTCTATTTTTCTTCTCATTTCCCTTCACTTCACACACACATTCAATGCTCCTGGATCAGCTTGTAGGTCGTGGTTGTCCAGGGTTCTGTTTAGACACCACTCTAGTCCTCTTGAGTCTTCGCCAGTGACCAGTGTCATAGTTCATTTCAAATAGCATTTCAACAAGTAGAGTCTGTTGGTTCCCATCAGACCCTTGGACGTTTTCTGTGTTTTCACTTAGTTTGATGGTAATGATTGGACCTTGGTTAGGGAAAGGTTTGTCTGGAAAAACAGAGGGGGAAATAACTTTTATTGCATGTAGTTTGAACAAAAATCCAAAGACTTGTGCCCATTTGGGCTGACTGATTTTTTTTTTTTTACAAAGAGTCAGCATTAAAATTAGGGTTAATTAAGAGAACTAAAAGTTACTCTACCTCTAGCGCCAGCCATAAAGCCCAAGATGAGAGCCTTCTCTGCTCGACTGACTCTATTTGCATTTCTGAACATTTCATGAGCTGCAAGCATTTGTTCACGCTAAAAAAAAAACCAGACAAATATATATGCATTGTCAGAACAGAATTCAAATAATATGATTCTAGCAAAGAAAATTAGTGTACAAGAACACAAATCATAGGAAAAAGTCAAGAAAAGAAAAAAAACATACAGAAAGGGTAAGCTGCCTCTTATTCTGCTGCTGCTGCTGCTGCTGTTGAAACATTTGTTGTTGTTGCTGAAGTGATGTCGATGCTGCAGCATTTGATGGAGTCGGCATGGCTGGTGCTTGCGCTCCTGATGGCATGTTCAGAGAGGATGTAGAAGGTGTAGCTGGTGTGATGGGGTTTGTTGGGGTGATGGTCGAAGCAGGTGTGCTTGGCATTGCCATTGCTGCTGTCATTTTTTGTTGTTGTCTTTCTCTCATAAGCTGTCGTTGCTGCTCTACAGCAGTCTAGAAAGTGGATAAATAATTTTATTAGCGATGAATTCATCATCATAATCAACAGAAAAGGTTGGTCGACATCACTGACTGTAAAAACAACTTAAAAAGCATGTTTATAAACAAGTCCAACTTCTTACCTCTAGTTCTCTCTTGAGATCCAAAGTGCTTTCACTCAGTTTAGAAGTCTCTGCGCCTACATCTGATGAGGTTGCAGGGGTGGGAGGTGCAGGGGTTGTTGCCACACCCCTGTTGGATATTACGGCATATGATGGTGTAGGAGTAACAATTGTTGCTGTTGTGGATGGGGTACTAGGTGTTGGAGTTGCCTGCAAAGAAACCATTGGCATAAAGTTTAAGATCAATATAAAAATACATGTACACTGTAGATCTTTTAGTTTGGGTGAAATTGTTTTTGTCCCACAATGTACTGCAATACACACTCAAACATGCTTATTCCTCAACCTCTGAATGGCTTATTCAGGTATCTTTTTGCAGTTTAACTTCAGACAGTTAAGACATAACTAAACCAGCTCAACCTTGAGACTGAACAAAAGATGTTTTCCATACCTTTGTCTGAGGTACGAGAGGCTGAAGCCCTGCAGCATACTCTGGAGTAGCAGGTTCTTGGGTTTTTGCTGTTTCTGTTGCCTTTTTCTGTTTTGCTTCCTCAGCTTGCTCGGCTTCTGTAACATCATTTCAAGTAAAAGGCAATAATGAGTCATGAAGTGGTTGCTGCTAAAAATAGTTACAGTGTTTCAATACAGGCAACAAAATCGTGCAGCTTTGTTGTATTGCAAACATACTCACGTGCAATAAAGTTTTGTTGCATAAAGTAGAAGATATTTTTACCATTTGCGACACATTTATCACGGAGGTGACACGAGCAACTTTTGCTGTGCATCTTTCACTTACATCCCCTATTTTATATATCTGTTTACTAACCTAACAGTTTCTTCCTTCTCTTGACTTCTCTTCCTCCCCCAATTGGCTGCTCATTTATATCCAGTAACTAAAACATTCCAGGATGATTTATTAGCAAAATTTATAAACCAATGTTTAATTTCTAGGGCAATATGAGAGCAATACAGTAGACCCTTGGGCATAATGTTTTCCTATTTCAGACCATGTGTCATTCCCTACAAAACAAGATTCTTTTCATGAGATTGTTAGGAATATGATTGTCGATTATAAATAACCTTTGTTCTGCCATGCTGTTTAAGAGTAGCAGCCGATATAATGCTTCTTGATGGTGTAGCACTGCTAGAGATCCTTGGTCTGTTGATGGGTCTTGTGTTTACACGTGCTGAAGGGATAAAATATGTTGGTAAGGTAAAGCAGCATTTCATTCACTGATGTCCAACAGCTGTTCATTGATCATTAAATGGCCACTTGTTGATAAAGTATTGCCATCTCTCAACAAAGTATTGGCTGATATAGAGGATATTACATGGGCGCTCGGAGATACGAATTTTATCTTCGAGTGTTCAATTAATATCTCACGAGTGAGCACAGCGAACGAGTGAGATATCTAAATTGAACACTCGAAGATAAAATTCGTATCTCTGAGCGGCCATGTAATGTTCTGCTTATTATATAGATATCGATGAAACTTAAATAAAACAAGAGCTCAAAAATTCTTTATTAAAATAGCAAGCCGATTCAACAGCGATATCTTCACATGTGAAAGATATGGTATCTTCCACTGGTGAAAGATATCAAGTTTTTGACACTAAAGAAGACCTGGTATTTCATCGATATCTATAAAATAAAAATAGATATTAAATAGCCTTAAGTAGTTCAAGTCTGGCTTAATTCATAACTAAACTGTGCACTGGTTTTCCTCCTTCCATAAAAATCAACACGTGTTAGTTGTAGTTGTCAAGAAGGGTGTATGCTGCAAATATTGACCATAATGGTAGACCCTTAACACTGGTAATAATGGTTGCAGATTTGTTTTTACTTACAAGGTGGTTCAAACTTCTTGGCAGGTGATTGAAGCTTGTGAGTAGAGCTTCCAGCAGTACCAATTTTCTTCTGAGTAGAAAGAGCTTCACTAGCTAGAATAAAAAGTAAATACTAGCTAAGATTCACAAACTATTGACATACATTGTACATTCTTATGTCTTCAATTTTATACCATGACAACGCAGTGTAAGCRTACTATACTACATTACTAATTCTGCCTGTCACGCTTTTCAGAATTAATTTACAAACTACAATTAACTAATAATAATGAAACTAATGAAATAAATATAATATTTACAGCTAATGGAACTAATAATCATAAGTAAATACTATTTTGACTATAGTAGCTTGTCCTATTTCTGGTATTAAATAAAAACCCTTTCCTGTACATATTTTTWAAAGCTATTGTGTAAATTACATACAATACCTTTCTGAATGAGTTCAGCTCTAAGAGCAGCTGATTTGGGTTTTCTCCTTAGAGTGAAGTGTTTTGGTAATGTAGGCTGTTGACCCACTACAGAATGGAGTGCCATCTTGTTAAGATATGTACACTCTAGTGGCAGAAGACTTGAACCATTTTCTGCTGTAGCCACTGAACAGAATGAGAAAACATTAAATGTTTTATTTTATCTAAATGGTGCTCTGGTTGATACATTAGGTGAGGTTAGAATAAAGATTGCTCCAGTAGCTATTGGTCTAGAGATGAGCATATTTTTGGATATCATATGAGTAGTTAAATGATAAGATAGGGTATGGCCATGGTATAACTATTTGTTTGCCATATTAGTTCCCACTCATATTACAACCACTCTATGACGTGCGGTAACAATTAAATGGCTTACTGCTGTCTTCTATTAATTCATCCATTCATAAAGCATAGTTAAGGCAGTGATAAGATCGTGTACGGCTACAGTAAGACTATGAGTATGCCATATCATTTCCCATTCATATTACGGTGTACTACCACTCTATGATTTGTGGTAGCCTTGAAAGGGCTTCCGAGTTCCTGTTCTCTTCTAAAAATCCACCCAATCACAAAGCAAAGTTTAATACGGCTACTATAATAAGATAGGGTACAGCTACAGTACGACTTTGAATTTGGTGCATTGTTTCTCTTTCATATAAAAACTATCTATAATGTTCCATAACATTGAAATACATGGCTACCCATTAATTTGTTTCCTAATTAATAGCTAATGCTAATGTATTGATTAGTTAATTATTTGTCTGTAAATCAGAGCGATGCAAATCAAGCCTTTTACTCGATATTTTTCATTCATTTACTACCATTACACATCTAGTAAATGAGTAAATATGAAGAACTTACAACTCTGTTTCAACTGTTGAGTGACTTCAGCAAATACAGGGCTAGCTTGTTCCAAATGTACATTMAGCATCCCTGACGTTGGGTAATATTTAAGGATCTCACAAATTACACGAACCCACTCGTCTTCATCTTGAGATCCTATTTCCAACGTCTCGCACAAATCAGCACTGGTTTCTTCCAAAACTCGACGAGGAAGATGAAGAAAAGCCATTAAAAGTTTGATCTTTACTTGAGGTTCGAGCCGATGAAAGCACTCAGGGATATTCCTTAATACATCTTGAGTCAATAAGGATCGTAGATTTGATCCTGACCAGGGATCGTCGCTAGAAAGTTTATTTTGAAGCCAGACATGCAGAGCTATGTCTTGTCTGTGGGACGCCATCTTGAATTTTGAAGAAAGCAGCTTTTGCATTTTATCCTCAGGGGGTACTAGACAGGATTTTTGTCAAGTCTATTTTACAATGGGAAGGGAGGGTAAGTAAATCATTTCAAACTCAACCAAAATAAACAACTTTGTCAACACAGAATTTCTCCTTCTTAATTCATATATGGACAGAATTATTTCTCTTGTTTGGTATCCCCAATTTTGCTCCTAATTCAAGATTCCAAAGAATCAAATTTAAAAATTCATTTTGCAGCGCATTAAATTAAAAAAAAAWAGATTTTGAAATTACTAGTACTTTCCTGAAACGGGATGAAGTGAAATTGTTAAGGAATAAATAAAGAATTATTATAAAGAGTTTTCTAGAGATTTTGGTTAGGCACATAAAGGTCCTTTATTCAAATTTACGATGCGCGTCATTTGTGTACCAGTATATAAGGTGCCCGTATGTGCGTGTGGGGAAGGGGGTATTGACAGGAAGGTTGGATATACCTTGATAAATACTTGCACTATAAGGAGAAGACAGGTGAAAATCTCCCCAGAATTAACATGATTTATACGCCTATTTAACCAAGAATCAAGCACAGAGGACTTCAATACGTCTCAAGTGAAATAAAATGCCGTGTGGCGGACTGAAAGACCGTGTCTTGGTGAGTATAACCGGAGTGTTTGTGTGAGTTGAATGTTGCTGCAGTGGATTCCTTTTACTCAATCGGAACTCAACTATTATCGCGCTCAATCACAAACTACTAKAGAAACGAAAACTAAATCACTCCGATATAATGTTCCTAGCTGTCTACTACGATAAATCGTGTCTGMAAGACCATAACTCGTTATTCAATAAACTTTCATTATCTAAGCTCAAATTATCGTAAATATTATCAAAACACAAGCCACTTTAGGTACAAACTTTCTCATATCTGATAAAGTGAAGATTCACTATTTCGGTATTGTCGAGTTTTAGGCATTTACATTCAGGAAAGCTTTCTTTGTTTTATAGAAAGGGTCCTCGTCTTATTTATGCCAAAAGTCTTCGCGCCTTCCGACTTAACTCAAACCAAAACCATTCGCTTTGACAATATTTTTCTTATTAGGAGTTTTTTTGTGGTCAAATTTTAAAGCTGAAACTTCGGCATAACTTTATTCATTGGACTTCAAATTATCCGGAAATAAAGGCTTGAAATCTTACAGTTTTCAGAAACTATATGAAATAAGAATTCTAAAATCTCTACTTTCGCACGAACTTCTGTGTTTTGAGCTTATCACTATGACTATTGAAAGTGTTTATATTCATTCACAAATTTCTTTCTCAAGATATAGAGGAAACTTTTGTGCCTTAATTACAGGCTCCTACGAAACTCTTAACACCGGAACTTCAATTTTCTTTAGGGTCTTATTAGAACTAGAAGATTTTATTTTGTTGGATTATGATAACGGTAGATTTGCCGCTTTATTTGTACATGTAAGAAAGAAGAGGATTCCGAAAATATATCTTTTATTCTATTAATTTTTTTGTTCCAGAAGATTCTATTTGTAGTTATGTTAAAATAAAAGGTGCTGGTTGTGAGGGACAAAGATGTATCTAAGTCTAAAACAATTATTAATTTAGATCTGTATTTAGCTGAGAAAAATATATTCAAAATAATGTCATTTAACCTAAAATAATTCATAACATTTTTCAGTTCTCTTTCATTCATTCATTCATTTTCCAAAAATTTCAAATATTTTGGCCCTCATTTTTTCCATCTCCTTTCCCATGATTTATTTTCCTATGTTAGAACAATAAAAAATTAATGAACCTAAATAATTGTTAAGACAATAAGAAATGAAATGAAACTTATATCATTTTTAATCAGATCTACATAGACCTAATCTTCCATTTAATTATCTGTATGTAAAATGAATTTTTTTTTATTTCAAAAAAAATTCAATTCAGTATCCTTATCTTTCATGTTTGTATTATTAAGATTGTCAGTATCAAATTCACACATATAACTTGCTGACACCTGGTTATATATTTATACAGATAGATAAATAGCTTAAAATAGCTATTCATAACATGTGTACAGTACAACATGTACTAGCTTAAGTATTAAACCGAGTCAAAGATTAAGGTTAAGATTAATTTTGAAGGTGGTCTAGAATTGTCCCCTATTAGGACAAACTGCTGGGACATTCATTCAGATAAGTCCTATACATATTCTWCATCTGTGGGGAAGTGAATAGGTATATGCAAAAAGTAATTAATAATATGGCTATATGTCCTAGCCTCTTACTGCTATTTTCGTAGAGCTTGCRAACTCTGTAAATGCGATTTTACTCATTCGAATTCGGTTTTTTCACTGCTGCCAGTCAAAAATATTAAAGGTGCTGGCTGACAAGTTTGATTGACAGCAGCAAAAAAACAAATTTTGATGTGCAGCTCATAGCTAAGGAGTTTGCATGTTCATGAAAATACCAGTAATTCTTCTCTTTATTTTTTGACATTTTCATGAGTGCAAACATTTAAAGATATGATTCAGAAACAGTCATATCTCTAATGCCTCATTTTATGAATATACTCATTCATGTGCTGGCAAATTAAATACACTTGCAGTATCTAAGCTTGCTTTTCTATTGAGGTGTAAAATAAAACGGACATGTTTAGATTAAGTTTACAGCCTTCAGGTTTACATTTTGATCCACAGAAAGATAAAAATATGATTACTAAATAATTGATATGTTTAAAAGTAACTAAATTTGTCTGCGAGGTTTTCTCCTTTGGGTTCATTTGCCTCCCTCCCCCAATTAAATTAAATTTGATCCATTTTGGCTTTACTCCCTTGTATTGGGCAGAAAATTAATTTCAGGGTTTACTAGATTTAGGTTTTTGTTATAATGCTTTTAAAATTTTATAACAAATTCTTGAACACAAATTACAAATTAGTAGTGTATAGCAATTTTAGCAGCAGTATTAGCTTTAGCGGCTACAGTAATAATATAGTATTATACCAGCAGTATTAGTCATAGTAGCAGCAAGCAGAGTGATTTTACTTGGCCTGTAAAAAATAGTTAAAATAATCATACATTATACAGTAGCAAACACTCATTTCATTTTTACCAGTAATGTTAAGCCAAAAACATTACCCTGAAATGTTGAGCCAAAAATATGGTATAACTGAGCTAAAACTAATCTGATTGCTCAAGGGGAATTGTCTATTCTTGAAATGATATCTTTTTCAATATTGACATAACATATTCAAATTTGATATTTCTTTCTTTTTTCTTCATTTTTTTATTGTTTATTGGATTTTTTTTTTTCAATCATGCACTAGTACATAATTTAGGTCATAATGTTCCCTTGAGCTTTATTGCCAGTACATTTTGTTTTCGGCTACCACTGATTTATTTTGTCTTTTCCCTATATTATTTTATTGCTGTTTCTATAGCTCTTTTGAGGGCTCAAAAGAATTGTACAGTGCTCATTACTAGGCGTTGATTGTGTATTTTTATGATAAATAGTAGGTAGGCAATGATTATATTTCTTTTAACTGTAATTATTAATAATATTCAGGCTGCTTGAATTAATTTTATCATACACACAAAAAATATCTTTTAGAATGAAATACTCTTAATTATAAATACTTTACACCAGTTATTTATGCATTCATTTCTTCAAGTAGTTGAATGGAAGTGAAAAATGTTTTTAAACTGTATTAAGAAAAGCAAATGCATACAGTATAACACTTTGAAGATTTAAAAAAAAAAAATTAAAAATGAAATTGAGTGAAATTGAAAAATGGCTTTCAACTTACTGGAAGTTATTCGAGTATGCGTCATAAGTTTCCCAGTACTTACAGTACTTCAACATTTCTCTCTTTATATGTACATGTATTTTTTTTTGTACAAAATGTCATTTTCAAGTGGAAATAAATTGAAGGCAATTCAGAGCACAAGTGTGTGAAAATATGGAACTTCTGAATGCATTCAGTCATACTGCTCTAAATGTCAACAAAAAATCATTTTATAATTAATACTTTCTTACTGCATATACACTTTATGATAGATAATAATAATAATAATAATAATAATAATAATAATAGATGACGATGAAAGATTCATTTTCCTTTACTCTATTTTTACTTTCCTCATTCTCTATGAGGTTTAATTTTATGCATATGGGTTCATGATTTATATATAGCTTGTAAGTGTCAAACACTAGTAGATTAAAAGAGAAGAGCTCTTGGTTCTGCAGGAAACATACATAACATTTAAAAGTATTGTACTTAGATTAAGGGAAGGGCCTCATGTTCAAATCTTCTATGTTAAATATGATAGCATAAAAAAGCACTTCTACCACACTTGTTTATATTATTATGATACTGTCAAAAGAATGATAAAAGGGTACATTATACACTGTGAAAAGATGAAAAAACTACATTAAAGTATGTTTTTTAATCTTTTCACAGTGTATAATTCACCCTTTTACTGTTTCATTAAAAACGCCGACACAGCTCACACTAGGTTTTAGCTAGTTATCTCTTCTTCTGTCAAAGGATTTAATTTGAATTTCAGCTGCGATAAAACACTAACTCCTAATTTAATTTCAAGAAAATTTTAATTTGATATCTTTGTTTATTTTTTCTTTTTGTATCGTTAAAGTCAATATTAACTATAATTTATAGCTTGTGAGAGGCTAGATATAGCTACTGATATCTGGTGCAATTATTAATATTTTTGGAAAAAATTCTTATTTGACCAGACTTTCTATCTTTCAGTCCATTTATATTTAATAACATTGTCTGATATTTAAATCGTTGAATTTTAATTTTGTGCTAAGCAAAYAGTGCTGTCTTGGCAGGGAGTGATTTCATCTAACAGACCACATCATTGACTTCTATAAACTGGGCACTAATCCATAATGATTGAAGGATTTTCTCAACATCTTTTTTTTTTTCATCCCTAATTTCTAATTCATTCTAAATATCCCAGGGAAATTTTTAGTCTTTTTTTAATAATTAAAATAAGTGTTTTCAATGTGTACTCAAACAACTAATAATTGTTTGAAATGCTATACATTTTTTTWATACTAATATATGGGTTCTTTCTGCAGCTTTATACAATATATATAAGTTTTTTGTTTTAGATCATAAGCCTATCTTTAGAAAATGCTTAGTGATACAGTACATGTCATTTCTTTTTCTGTGTGCTCTCAATTTGTACATGTACTTTCTGAAGCAACAAACTTTAATGGTTTATAAATGTAATCCTCTTATGAAGTTGAGTTGGACATTATTTAATCTAAAGTCTAGCTGAAAAGACAAAAATAAATGTGGGAGCCTATAAATAATTTCTAAGTATGTTGTGTTTCATAATAGCATTGTGTTAAGGTATGGCTTAAAAGATTATATCAATTTATGAGAGTACATTTTGTCTACTCTATTTCAATTATTTTTGCTTTCACATTCAAAGTATTATTTACTATTCTTGATGTGTATTTCCTTTGAAAAAGAAAAAGACTAGATTTCAAGGTGTTTTCATACTTTATGATTAAATAAGATTTTGTGATTAAATACTGTATCGATAGGATTTTTTTGATATGCATTATTAATAGCCTCACTGATAATAGGGTTCTCTTGATCCAAGGTATATATACTGTAGGAATATTATATGCACTCAAGATGAAATTACAATTGAGTTATGTACTATTTAATAAACAAGCAGGAGTGTTTTAAGGGTTATGAAACACGAGACACAGCTGAGTGGTTTAAGACGCAATAAAACATGATCTGCAAATTTATTAAAGGGCTCAAAAAACGTATGATGTATGTTCTGATATTGTACCAAATTCTCTACAAAATGAACCAAGTTTGATAGAGAAAATCCAAGTTAAAGTTTATGCAAATAAAGATGAATCTATATCAGATATAAAACCTCCTTCATGGTCATGATTTCTATTGTGTTTYYYTCWTGAATTATTAATGAGTTTTTTAAATATTATATTGCTTATATCCGACAATAAAATATGTTTATTAGTGCTTTTGAGACTTTTTCATGGTGAAGACGTGTTTTACAAGTGAGGTTCTACAGTATGTTTTCCACATGAGTTTGAAAATTATGGCTTAATCCTTTCAGGAACTATATTCACTTTTAAATATAACTGCAAGTGAATATGTGAAGGAAGCCATGTAAAAACATTTCTAACAATACTGAAATTTTGGCCATCATAGTCCTTTGTCAGAGTAAAAGCTAGTGGAAATTAGAAGAAGAAAAATCATGAGCACCTTGAAATGTTCCAGGAATGTTCTATTCTTTGGCCAATCAAAGTTGACTTTCTAACCACAAGATAACGGAAAGATAACAGTAACTTCTGATTGGTTAAGAAACATTCTTGAAATATTTCTAGGTGCCCATGGTTTTTCAATTCGCACTGTAAAGGGCATTAATGAATGACCAAAAAGAAACAGCTGGACAAAATGTCACAACAATTAAAGATAACAAAACATTTTAATCTAAAATGTTTATTCATGTTATGGGGATTTTGGACACCTAAGGTGTGAATAAGTCTCATCTCTTGTTTTACATACAATACTTTGAAATAGAATAAATGATAGCTAGGGAATTCATCTGTTCATATAATTATGATTATGTTTTGTCCACTTGATACAGGAAGTGTGGACCATTTAACTACTCTTTATAAAATATTTGATTAGATTCACTACACATTGCTAAAATTATATTAATATACTATTTAATATTAATTAATTGCAGAGTTTTCTCGGTCGAAGTCACCAACACGCGGACGAATGGCGTACTGTGTATGCACATAATCGTTACCCTAGTAACGATCCTGATATAGAAATCAAACAGAAGCATTATGCAGATAATAAAATAATAACATCCAAGGTAATATTATTTGTTTAAGAGCTTTCAAAATTTATGGGGTGGTGATGGCAGGTAAGGGTGGGGGCTATGAGGATTTTATATTTTGCAATACTTTTGGTTACCCCCCACCTCCCTCCCCCACTCAAAAAATAAATTTCACAAAAACAAAAAACTAAATCGAAAAGCAGGAACACAAGCGCCAGGATAAATGTTTTTGCTTCCTCGAGCTTGCATGCTTGAGAAAACCAAGTTTAAGATAGGATTTTGTTTTATTTTGTTTTATTTTTTTCAGTATACATTATGGAATTTTGTGCCAAAGAATCTTTTTGAACAGTTTCGTCGGATAGCTAATTTTTACTTTCTTTGCATTGGTGCTGTACAGGTATGTGATTTTAAGGCATTCAAAGTAATAAAGCCTTGCTATTTTCAAACAACGAAAATGCTTTTAATTAAGATATGTATACTCATTATGTATCTTTTCAGGTGTTAACATGATTATAAGTTACAATAAAACATGGACAAATCAGCTGTAAGGTGTAGTTCCAGAAAATATCCATACCCCCATCACGGAGGAAATTTGTAAAAGAACCCCTCTACCCCCAGAACTTCCAATTTTCATCATTACAAACTCTGTAATATCATTCTTTCTCTGACCCTACTACCCTCCAGAATTTTCAATTTTCTCTGTGGGTGGGGCATGAATACAGTCAATTCAAAAAATGTTGTCATCGACCCACTCACGCCTACGTGACTGGACCGAAAGGAATATGGGTAAAAATCACTGAAGCGGTTAAATATTCGTTCTGAATTAATTGTTCCCGCTAGTAATAAGATAATAATGGCGAGAAACAATCCATCAAATGCATGTCTTTGGGTTTAGGGAAAGAAAAACAAAGTAGTTATGAATCCAGTCGCATAGGCTTGAGTTGGTCGACGACAACATTTTTTGAATTGACTATATTTTCTGGAGCTACACAAGATGTCTGAGATGTGCTGCATAATTATATATAATAACCATAAACCGTATGTTTGCATATTATTTTCAGTTATTAATTGACAGTCCTGTCAGTCCGGTCACCAGTATACTACCCCTTGTGTTTGTCATTACAGTCACTGCCATTAAGCAGGTAATATCAGATATCTAACAAGTTTACATGGGTACAAAGTAAAAAATATAGACACCTCTTCCCTCTTCCCTCCTTGCTCTTTTATCTTTCTTCTTTCCACATCTCATTCTTCTTGTCTCCCATCTCTTCCCACTCCTTTCCCACTTCTTTCCCTTTCATCCGTTTCACTTTTTTCTTTTATACCTTTCCTTAACTTTTCACCTCACAATCTCTATTTTCCTATTGATTTCCATCCCATCCAAACACATTTTTCCCACTCTACCTTTCTTTCTCTTCCTCTCATTCTTTGTCCTTCTCCCACTTTTCTCCCTTCTCTGTCACTGTCAGTTACCCAGCTCTTCAGATCTACTTATGGACCATAACAGTAAGGTATTCTTATGTGTTATGCTTTCCAGGGATATGAAGATTACCAGCGGCATAAAGTAGACAACGAAGTAAATAAAAGACCATGTGAAGTGGTCATCAATGGGAAAATAGATGAAGTAGAATCACAGAATATAAGGGTATGTTAGTCAATTCCCCCTAAACTGCATTGTTCAGCCTTATGCTGCAAAGCTTCTAAAGTTTAAATCAACTTCCTTTTTCCTTCCCTTCCCGTCTCCTTTCTTCTCCTTCCATCCCTTTTTTCACTTCCCTTCTACTAACCTTTCCTTGTCCATATTTTCCCTTCTCTTTTCATTCCCTTCTCATTTCTTTCCCTACTCTTCTCTTCCCATCCCTTCCCAAGGTTCAACTTCCCTTCTTTTACCATTAATCATTTAATCTACATCGACATAAATTTATGTTCTTTTGTGAATGAGGAATCTTCACAAGGTTAAAAGATCTTTGACAGTCATGACGGTTTTTCCCATTTTAAAGGTTGGTGATATTGTAAGAGTCAAGGATGATGAAGAATTCCCCTGCGACATGGTGGTTCTGTCATCTGAAGACCCTGATGGAGTATGCCATATCACTACAGCCAATTTAGATGGAGAAACTAACCTTAAGGTAAAAAAACACTTACCTGTACTGACAGTTGAGCCCCTGGCATTATTTTAGACTTTAGGACATGTCCCATACATGTACACTTGCATCACTACTAATTTACCCTGGATATCTGGTTACTGTCGTGGATAACCAGGTCTTTTTGGTCACTGAATTACCCGGCAGAAACCTTAATTCATCAATATCATCATCATCATCATCATCATCATCATCATCATCATCATGAGAGGGCCACAGGTTTGTTAGCATATTGCTATTTAGTGCTACCCTCAGTAAATAAAGAGTTTATTATTATTATCATCATCATCATCATCATAATCATAATCATCATTATCATAATCATAATGTTGATGATAATAATAATAATGGATTATTATCAGAGTATCCACAAGACGGCTCTTCACCTGATAAAAAGCTAAATAAATATATACACTAATAATATAGCCCTAATTTATAATAATCTATTAAAAATTATTAGTTATTAATATTAATAAATAGGGAAATATCCAATATATAAATAAGGAAATATCCAAAAAATTTTTTTTTTCATTCATTGGTTCATGCATCCCTTCAGTCTGTAATTTTCCTTCAAACCAAGGAAGGGTGTGCTCCTTTTTTTTTAAATGCTCTGACATTCTTGGATTAGGTCCAATAAATAAATGTCTATTTTCTACAAATGTTTTAGGTACGATCTTCAGTAACCACAACAGCTAGCATGAGGTCTCCCCAACAACTTGATGACCTATCAGCAACCATAGAATGCCAACACCCTCATGTTGATCTATACGGGTAATTCAAATAAGATAAGTTACTATTATGTAATATATACAGTATGAGTGGCCGTGTTGTATCCGATATACAAACTTGGTCGTGATTTATGTTGTGTTTTCCTCATGAATTATTAATGAGTTTAATAATAGACTATAATTTACAGTGGATACTGCTCCAGGGCTAAAGGTCTTCTTGACAAAAGACACAGTAACACAAAGTTAGCTTGAAGTGAAATTTAAGATTGAAATGTCTTTCATTAAAGTTCAGCATTTTAAAATGTCGATACAGTATGTCTGTTGTCAATAATGTAACAATAATAAGAACTGAAAGTTGTTTATTCTATTGTTTTTATCTCCTGTTAACTAGTGCATTAATCAGTTTTTTATGTGTTTTTAGTTATTCTGGTCGAATAATAATTAATCTTAACAATGGACAAGAGCCTGAAGTGAAGTAAGTTGATTGGAATTTACCCATTATAATCTATTATCCATTCCTCATATTATCCCATTCTATTAGAAATATTTCCTCTATTCCCATAATACCCTCTTCTATGGTGTTATCTTAATTACTCCCATTTCTCTAGTATTTGATACACTAATGCTAACATTACCTTGTTTCTTATTCATTTGCTTAATCAGATCATTAGGTCCCCAAAATCTTCTGCTCAGAGGAGCTAGGCTCAAAAACTCTGATCATGTCTATGGTAAGCAACCAAATAGATATTAAGAGTAGGTTATCATACAGGCCATCTGGTTTCACACTGGGATTTCCCCAAAACATTGGAGGGTTTTATAAACTTTTCAGCTTTGTAAATGTATGGTCGTAATTGAGAGAAAATATACCAATTTCTTTACTTTTTTATTCATAATTCCCTTACTGATTTATATGTGTGCAAAATAAATAAATAATGAATAAATAATGGGATTAACAGTGGATTCCACAGAGTGACTCTCCAGTTTTTGCAGAGGGAGGAAAGCCGGAGAACCTGGAAAACCCTCAAAACACAGGAGAGAACCAACTCAACTCACATACAACACCGAGCTTGTCGGGACACAAACCCGGGTTGCATTGGTGAGAGGCGAGTGCTCACACCACTACGCCACCCATAATGGACCTTTATTACACACACAGATTTCCACTGCGTTACCTCGCATTCAAGCAAAATTCAGGATTAGGTCACATGATGTTAAACAAAGGTTTTTATTCTTATGGGAATAAACATGATCCTGGGTGAAAAAGGTCTATAATGTTCACAGTAGCCAAAAAACAAAAATTCTGGTTTAAAATGCTATTATAAGATAACTGTTATAAATCATGCATTCTGATTGGTTGGGAGTGTGTGCTTTATGAGAGCACACAGCATGCACGCGCCCYTTTGCATTTTCTAAAAGAATTAAAGAACTTGCTTGCTATGCTATGCAACGTGCATCTCCTAACACTTCTCTCACGTCTACTTATTCCCATGTGCTTTATAACTGCATACAGCACGCGTGCACATTTTATATTTCTTCATTATTATGTGACATATCCCAACAAGTACCCTATGCATACTGTCAGCTGCTCTTTATTAGCTTAGTTGCTTTTATTGTTTCTTTGTACAGGTATTGCTGTTTACACTGGTAAAGAAACAAAGGTATCTTTACTATATCTTATCTACATGTATAACATGTACTTTTTACCAAATACAAACATCTGTATTGTGTTCAATAAAATACAAGTGACAAGTGGAAATAAATTATTCCATATTATACTGCGAGAAAGCATTGTGTAACCATTCCTTCCCACCATACACTATTTAAAATACCCATGTTGCAATGCCTGATGGGAAGAAACAGTTGAATAGTACCAAATATACAGTGGCTTCCCTGAATTCTGATTGGCTGGGTTTTCCAATGAAGAGAGATAAAACGTGGTATTCCCTTTACTTTCAGATGGCTCTCAATCAAGAAGAGGCACCGCATAAATTCTCTACTGTTGAGAAGTAAGTGTGGATGGAGGTGATGTTGATAATGATAGTGAAGTGAATGACACTGATGAATGATGATGATGTTGATGATGACAATGTTGGTGATGATGGTATTGATGATGACAATGTTGGTGGTGATGATGATGATTATAGTGAAGTGCATGATATTGATTCATGATAATAATGGTATAGATGATTATGCTTAATAATGATTGTCGTGTAGATGATGGTGGTTTATGATAATGATGAGCAGTGATGATTGTGGCATCAGTGATCATAATTGATATATTTATTGGTTGATGATGATACTTGCTATAATAAAATACTCTTTTCCATAGGACAATGAATTGGTTCTTGGTAGTATTTCTAATTGTATTAGTCCTACAAGGGATGCTTTGTACTGGTCTCAAGTATTGGAAACAGAGCACTACTTCTGGTTCAGCACCCTACGTTGGACCTGCTGATGCTGTCAGTGTAAGTAATACTACCTGAAGACTGTTAGTAATCCTTCTTTCCATTTCTCTTTCACTCCCATTTTCTCTTTCATTCCCACTTTCTCTTTCACTCCTACTTTTTTCCACTCCAACTTTCCCTTTTATTCCCACTTTCACTTTCCCTTCCACTCCCACTTTTCCTTTGACTTCCACATTCCTTTTAATCCCATATTCCTTTTAAACAGTCTGCATAGTTACCTGATGCAAAATTACCATGCTTTGACTTGGTTTGATCATTTATATTTTTAAATTTCAGTTCAAAAAAGTTGTTGAAGAGTTCCTAGTGTTCCTAATTCTTTACAATTACGTCATTCCTATTTCCCTCTATGTTACAGTAGGTAAGCAATACCTGGATATTAACGTTTATTAAACAACCTCTCTGTTTTCGTTCTGCTATATACAGCGTCACTTGGCACGATAAGGAGATTGGTAGCAAGGGCATAGCATTTGGGCAATGCCCGCCCCCCCCTCCCCCCTCAATTTTTTTTGGTCTAAAGTTGAAACGTGTACGTGTGTATATTGGCAGAAAAAACATTGCCCCCCCCCCCCCTCCCCCATGGCTGAACACCCACTATGTCTATGGGCCCGGTTGTACGAAGGGTGGATAGCGCCATCCGATGGATAAATCCTATCCAGTGGATGAATTTATTTGATAACAGCATCGATGTTTAAAATCTTTCTTATACCAACCTTAATCACACTCCTTTTCTTGGACAGAATTACAGAAATTTATAGGAGCTTTGTTCTTCGTCTGGGATGCAAAAATGTACAACCCAGTAAGTAAAGATAGTTATAGATTACTGACTCATTTCTGACTAACATTATCAGTTCTTCTCTATGTTTATTAAAACTGATGCCTCTTTTAGTTGAAAGATCTAAAAGTGGTTTGGTTTTAAATRAGACTATTCTTAATTTATCTACTTGATGTATTGTGTTTTTCGCTTCTTTCACATTGTGGATTCCCAAAGTGCATTTATTAGTTGAATGATCTCTTGGCTTTTAAATAGAGTGCATGATATATATAGCCACATAGCCATATATCAGTAGAACAAAACGGAAGATGTAATATGTAATTGCAGCTATTTGCGAAATAGTTGATATTACTTGAGCAGAACATTGGGAACAAAAGCAAATACTTCTATGTACGTGTATTTGCGGATCGGTTAATTCTTCCTGAGTGAATTTGACGATAGCTAAATACTAAGTGCTCATTAAAATAGCTAGTATTTGTTTCACGGATATATGGTGTGCACTCTAAAACTGCTTATCTAGAATTTAACTAATTAATATTTTGTGTGTTTTGCATCTCCCTAAGTGCAGTCATTAGTTAAAAGATCTCGTGTCTTAAGTAAAATTGCTGATAATAAAACGAATTGATGTCGTGTGTGTTTTGCGTTTCTCTCTCATTGTACAGTACTTAAGTGCAGTCATTAGTTAAAAGATCTCGTGTCTTTTAAGTTAAACTGCTCATAATAAAACTAATTTATATTTTGTGTGTTTTGCGTTTCTCTCTCATTGTACAGTACCTAAGTGCAGCCATTAGTTAAAAGATCTCTTGTCTTTCAAGTAAAACTGCTCATAATAAAACTAATTTATATTTTGTGTGTTTTGCGTTTCTCTCTCATTATACCAAAGTGCAGCCATTAGCTGAAAGATCTCTTGGCTTTTAAACAAAATTGCTCATAATTAAGCTTTCTCCTCAGGAAACAGATGAACCAGCTATAGCCAACACATCAGACTTGAACGAAGAGTTGGGACAGGTGAGAGAAAGTCCCGAGGGAAGATTGAATTATTATTATTACTATTATATATTATACCATTTTAAATTATTGTTTTTTAATATTTACATACTTTTTTTTTTTAAATTTTAGATTATATTCTTTTTCTATTGCTAATTATGACTATTATTATTTATTCATGATATTTATCTATCTATCTATCTATATATATATTATACTTAATTTTGTACTATCTTTAATTTTTTTTTTGTTTTTTTGTTAGCGAGATAACTGTACTTAATTGTATATAGTTTTTGCTGACATAATAAATGTAAATGTAGATGTAGATGAGTGATCCACTACTAACTAGTACCTACTTGAGAAGGCATTTTTGACGTCCTTTTTTGTCCTTCTGAACTGCAGATCGAGTACATCTTCACAGACAAGACAGGCACCTTAACTGAAAATAACATGCAGTTCAAGGAGTGTTCTATTAACGGAAAACTATATGTGGTAAGCATCCGTCTGTCTGTCTCTGTCTTACAGTCTCTCTGTCCAACATCTTTCTGACTTTTCATCATGTCTGTTGTTTTGTCCTGTCTGTCTGCGAGTGTCTGTCTGTCTGTCTGCGAGTGTCTGTCTGTCTG